TCACGCCGTCATAAAGTCCGCTGACATACCGAGACGCAACAGCCACCATTTCTGCTCGCAACTGACATCCTTGCTCTGTTCTGCTGTCGCAGGGTGTGAAAGTGAAAATGGACAACGAGGGCAACATGATGGTGAAGCGGCTGGCCAAGTCCAACGTCTTCGTTCGCTACTCCAACGGCGAGAACGCAGTAGGCTCAGACATTCTGAAGCTTCCTCAGGCAGCTCTGGAGGCCAACAAAGGACTGACAGTGAGTCAGAGCGCCGGAAGAACAGCGCCACTCCTGTGTCCTAAGCTAACTGTGTTCAGCGTAGCGATGTCAGGCTTTGCTTTGACAGTAAGTCTAGCGTGATACTGCGGTGTTGCCGAGGCTTACAAGGACCCGAGCCATGTAATCCGTTAAACCTCTGTCGTCATCCTAAGTTGTCGCCTTCAAACGGAGACACTAGGATGACTCTGTCTCATCCTCAGAGTCATTTTCCAGGATCTAAGTGATGCAATAGGAGCAAATCCAAAAAATTCCTGCCAGATCCAGCACTCTTAGTCCGGTTGGCCTCAGCTGGTCTCCGCAACGCTGCCGCCAGTCGGCCCCAGTGCCACTGGCTTCAGCCAGTTCCAGCACCGCTGCCCCCAGTCGGTCCCAGTGCCACTGCCTTCAGCCAGTTCCAGCACCGCTGCCCCAGTCGGCCCCAGCGGCACTGCCTTCAGCGAGCACCCATACCGCCGCCCCAGCCGGCGGCTTGAGCGAGCCCAGCCCCTTCGTGCGTCCTCGAGACCTCACTCGCTGACCCTGGCGGCTGCCAGCGGGGCTCGCGGCCCCGCCGCACCCTCACACGAACCGGACGCGTTCCTCAGCCCCTCCCCCTCCCCTGCAGCCTCCTTTCCGGCCGGGTCTGACACCGTCGGATGGCTCAAGAGCGAGCTCACGGGCTGGGACGCCACAAATTGCTAACCTGGTGGGACGGGTCGGGCTTTATGTAGGGCTGCACATATATGGCGTCCTGCTCGTGCCCAGAGGCTGACAGCCAGGCCCCTGTGATCTGGCTCCGGGCCGAGCTGTCGCAGGCACGATCGTATGACGTGTTCGTACGTGCGGACCATGTTTGGCTGTCGGGGCTGGATCTCATCTCCCCCGGTTGGCATGGCAACAGGCCCAGCGCTCCCGCCGCCCGAGGGCTGGGCCGGCTGACAGCCCTGATAAATGACACTTTTTCTGATTATCTGATAGAGCGCACTTGGCCATGGAAGACCAATGACATTGACCAAGGCTGGATGGAAAACCGATGGTCCCGCGAAGACTCTGATAAAGCGATAAAATAGACGCATTTGCTAGCGTCCGAACGTCTGATGGAGCGTGGATGGAATATCATCACCGCAGCAGCCGGTCGAGCGCCGCTCACTCCTATTCGGCCGGTGTTTGATTTACTACGCTATTAATTTCGGCAAACTTTTCGAAGACAGTCAGCATTAGCATGCATACTTGTCAGCGCACATATTTACAGTACAGAAGTTACACCGTAGTTGTTTACGCGCATGGCATTTACAATGCATAACTGCATCAATTTGCATCGCTTATCTATGTCGCATAGGCATTCATTAGCCCCACGCAGACACTCACACTTTCCTACGTAAACAGATTCTTGCCTATTCGGTTCGGACATGCGTCCCGTGCTACTACTGACACACTCCACCCTCGCTGAGCATTGTCCGACCGTGCCTCATGCCACCCTGCCGTACTCGACTGGCGCCAGCGGCTGTTTTGCTGATGAGCCGCCGTCACTCTGCGACAGCTGTTCGACCTGAAGAAGTTCCAGCAGAACGTGAACCGGGAGCTGAAGCGGCAGTACCCGGACCGTACGCGGCTCGAGACACAGTGCATGACCTCGCTGGCGTTCGTCAAGAACGACGACGACCTTCTCAACTGCCCCTGCTGGGTGCTCATTATCAACATCGTGGCGCTCGACATGCTCAAGGGAAAGCTGATGCCTGGTGAGAACCCGCAGAGTTTTACACGGATGGTGACCACGTCAGCACCACTGGAGCCGTGGTAAGGGCGGCCAATTTGCACGCTACCTGACGCCATGAGAGCCTCGAGATGCCCGACGACTTTCCAATCCCTCAGCGGAAGAATCGTCGACCTGAATTTCGTCTCACACCGCAGCCTGCAGTTTGCGTTAGAGTGCGTTTTTCTGTTTCATAATACCAATTCATGATCTTGGCTCACTTCCAGTATGTTGTCGTTCCACTGGATGTCGCTTGCCGTGCCCGCCCTGTCGCCCCCTGTCGACCCCTGTCGCCGACCAGTGCGTGACGGTCCACGTGCGGGTCTCCGCACAGCGGCGATTCCTCCAGGCATGCCCGCGGTGCGCGGCTCGATCGCCATCCCGGACGAGGACCCGTACAGCGTGGCCGGCTCGGGCGGCAGCTCCGGCTCGTCCGGCCGCCTCGGCCGCTCCGAGAGGCCACCCAAGCTGCCGCCGCGCGACACGGACCGGCTCGGCCACCGCGACGTGCCCAACGTGAGCCTCGCCGGGGCGCGCTGACCCACGACACCGCGCGGGTCGGCCGTGGACCTCTGCCGCATGGGCACCCGGTCTGGGGCGGAGTGGGGGAAGGAGGGGGGGGGGGGGGGCTGGCAGGCTGTGTTGTACAAGGAACAGAGGGAGAGCACACGCGCCGTTGAATGAGAGATCGCGGCATGGGTCTTTCAATCGATCAACTCCACCTGTTTGTTTGTCGCTAATGTGTTCACCTTTGGCTCAAAATGTCACGTGGGTGAAAGCACTGCGGGGGTGTCTTTTATATTAGCATGCGGCTGTGAACCAGACGCTAATAGGCAGGACTGATCGATGTGTCTGTAAGGAGCGAGCAAACAGCTTTCCAGTGTCATTATCCCGGCAGAAGCAAACAGAAGCGTCCCGTCGCGATCTTTGATTTTCTCAACCAAGCACACACGTTACGATTCGCAGTGTATGTCCACACACTGTAACGTCATCAAGTGTGTATCTGAAAATGAAAAAAAACTTTTGCTGGCATCCTCCCTCCCGTGTACTCAAGAGTAGTATCACACAAGAGGTGTTTCGTACGCCAGTCACGGCCCGCCTGACTGCGATGAGCGGCCACCGTCGGTGCCCCGGGGCGCCCTGACCGGCCTGGTAGCGGCCGCTGCAGCGGACGGCAGTGACCGTGCCTCCCGCTGCCCACAGCCCGACTACGCCGAGGACACGGACGACCAGGAGCCGGCCACCAGCAGCAGCGGCGGCAGCGGCGGCGGCGGCGGTGGAGGCGGCGGCGGCGGCGGCGGCGGCCTGCGAGCACGGCTCCATCTCGGCAGGAACAAAAACAAGAAGGATAGGAAGAAGGGCGGTAAGTGGACTGGCGGCGGTGTTATCGGGTGCGCCCTCGGCAGACGGGGCTGACGCGAGATAGTCATTAATGTCAGGGTTATGGGTTGGGTATTTCGCGTCTCTTAGCCCACTGATCGGCGGATCCAAGGCGCCTGTTCTTTCGTGACGGCGGCGAGCGGCCTTGGTTTGGCGGCGACGGGCCTCACGAGGAGACCTCATGCGCTGCATGCGTGCGCGTCAAACTGGCTTGACCAGATGTGCGCCGATGGTGTTGGCGATCACGCAAGGCCAGCACATTTGCGGTGTGCTCCGCGGTACGAGGGGCTCTCTCATAGCGCGGTCAGGACGACTCTCACCAGAGGCTCGGTCAGGGGGAGTGCGCTACGGCCGACGGAGAGGCAAAACCCTCCCGGACGCGTGGGAGGAGCACCCGGTCGTTGACTCCACCCGCCAGGTCGCGCAGCCTGCGCGATGACTCACTGTTTACCGCTCGCCGCAGAATGACTGGCAGCTATTGCCGCCTCGCCCTCCCCCCCCCCCCCCCCTCCCTCTCGCGAGGGGAACCGAAGGGTCCACCACGGCAGGGGGTCCCACCATCAAACGAGCCGCCGATGGACGACTGGCTATCCGCATCACCCCACGGGGTAATGTCCACGCTCGTGTGTCTTGCCGCCTACTGAGGCCTGCGCCCTGACTTCCGCCTCCTCGCGCAATGCAAAGCGACCGGCGCGACGGTTTGGCACGCGGCCCCTCGGAAATGCCCGAGCGGAAGCGCAAAATACCATTAGTGCCCGCAACAATGCCGCGAGGGCGATGAACCAGAGCCTCCGCTGCCCAGTGGCTATGGAAGACGAAGCCCGCCCGGTTGCCGGAGACGCCCGGGGCGCCAGTCGCGGCCCACCCCATATGACGTCACTTGGACATGCCGTGTGACGTCAGACCTGAGGCCCGCCGCCCTGCAGCGCGGCTGCGGCTCGGCAAAACCCGTTTTACTTTCACTGCAGCGGCGGCGGCGGCCAGCAGCGGCGCTTGCTGTGAGGCGCCCGTGCTGTGTCGACCCTGAAACCGAATCGAAGGGGAGGGGACGCCACACGGGTACAGTCGACGGGCGGAGAATCATCGGCGGAGCGCGGACACGCGACCGGCCGTCAGCAGACAGACGTGACGGCGAACGACAACCCAGGGCGCGAGGACGAACGATGCATCCACAAACGCAGCGGGAGACGGGTGCATGCCGCTCGGCCGCGGTCGTAACAATGGTCTGTGTGCACGGACCCCACGCGGCGCTCAGAGCACGCCCCACACGACCCCAAGCGGCGTTCGGAGCACGCCCCTGACCCGACCCGACGTTCCAGACGAGCTCTACTACGGCGGCTTCCAAGCGCGCATCCCGAACTTCGCCAAGTCGAAGGGCTCCAAGGATGAGCTGGTGCCGGACGCTGCCGGCGGGCCGCGGGACCCGCGGCTGCCCATGGACCCGCGGGACCCGCGGCTGACGATGGACCCGCGGGACCCGCGACTGCCGGTGGACCCGCGCGACATGCGGGGCTTCCTGCCGCCGCCGCACACCATGCAGCACCCAGCCATGTGGCAGCACCGCGGCAACTACGAGGGAGGCATGGGTGAGTTCTGACGCGGCGGCGCCCGCCACCGGAACCGGCTGGTCTCGCCGTGGTGGCGCAGCTGACTACGGACCGTAACATCTGCATGGCTGTGAGCAGCGCGTTGCTGCTCGCAAGCTTCAGATATCCAGGTGGATGCTACACCAGGGCGATGCATAGTGCGCCGAGCATTGTAAAAAAAATGCGAGCGCATAAACGCATGAAGACGTAAATAAACACGACATTTAGACACAATTAAATAAATGTCATGAGTGAAAATGACGCGTTGGACCCGTCTGTTGAGTGCCGGACACAGCAGATCTACACAGCCACACCACATCAGCGCCCACAGCGGCCTATCGCGTCAATACTCCCTCAATCATCCAACAACTCCCAAATCGCCGTCTGCCCCGCGCAGGCCTTCCACTGCATGCTCTCGCCCTCTTATCGTTCACCACATGCATGAGCGGGTCTGGCTGGGTTACGTGTCACGCACGCATGGGCTGGTGCACGTCACTGCCGCCCCTGGGCACCCGTGGCGCCTGGTGAGTCCTCTTTCACCACCCGCCGTGGCCCGGGCCCTCCTGGCGGCGGCAGGGGCCGTGCTCACACCACTGGCTGGCCGGGCTGTGACTAACCGGCATTCTGCTCGTGCAGGGAGGATGCGGTATGGGTCAATGCCTGCCATCAACCGGATCCCAATGAATCCGATCTCTTACGTTCGGCCCATGACCATGCAGCATGGTGAGTCCTTGGTGTCATTAGCATACAAGCAAAACAGTCAGAAGTCAATCACGTGTGCGAGGTGTTTACTCAGTCACAAAATGAGTAAGCAATTTGAAAAGATTATGCTTACAATACTTCCTCCATGCAGCTCACCGAAAGCATGCAGCATGACAAGCACAAGGCTGTTCTGCTTAGATAGACTTGAGGACTCGCTAAAGAATTCAATGCATATGTTTATAGCCGCTCAGATTTTAAATTCACATGTCCTTCGTGATGAGTTCTCACGGCTTTATTCTGCTCACATATGTACCTCTGTCCAGAGACGATGCATTACCCTCTTACCATGCGCTCGGCGCGCGATAACGGATGACGCAACAACGGTGCTTTGTTTGTTCTTGCAACTTCACCATTCAAATCTAACCAAGCGATCTCTTAGCTCACCCTCGTTCTTGAACCTGGGGCATGGATGCACTTTGCACACCTGGCACGGAGCACCGGTGTCTGCCTGCCTCGGAGCTCGAGTGTGGACTGACCCGGCTGGCTCGGCCTGCATGCCTTCTGACACTGTCGCCTCTCTGGCCGCCTGTCCTCGGCAGCGGTGGACCAGGAGTGGGAGCTGTATGCCAGGAGCAAGCGAGATCGGCCCGTGCAATGATTAGCTTAGTCACGCTGCGGCCTGCCGTCTCCGCCTCTCTCTCTCTCTGTTCCGAGGTCTGTGGTCGCAGACGGATGGGTAAGCCCTTGTGGGAGAGCGGCGCCGCTCTGTAACAATGGCTCGGACTGACCGCCGCATGACGGAGCACGCCGACCTCACTGACCTCTGACCTCCCCTGACCCCTGACCTGACCTGACCCGCGCCACGTGCCCTACTTATCTGCAGTGCGGCGTCCGCACTGCAGAGAAGCGCATACGTGCGCGGCCTGGTGCTAATGAAGAATGCACAGTGAAAGAGGTGGATAATTGTACGTGGCGATATTAAACTCGAATATCATCATAATGCAAAACCTATGAATAAACGCATGCGCTAATAATCCTCGGACACTTAAACTACGTTTTTAGGACTAAAATACAACAGTACAGCTTGTGAGGAGCCACATATTTCCTGGATCGACCCCCTAGCTGACAGAACGATTATAAACTTATGAACGTTGAGTCAATGAGTCACACCCGTGTGCAATGCCGTCCGTACCTTCTGACCCTTGCATATTTCACTGTCCCTAAAGCCACTGTTCTTTTCACTTTTCACCGCCCCGCAACCAACGACGATTACGATCTACGCCACGACCGAGACCGGCCCTTTGTCAGCTGACCTTGTGCGCAGTGCCCGAGTAACTTTGGAGACGACGCCTCCCGCCAGTCCACGGGTGACCCTACCGAGGGCGCCTAATTGACGGTTTGCGACTCGGCTTTGGCAACGTCACCTCGTGCGTAGTCCTCGACTGACTTCAGCGACTTGACTTCGTGCGCGGTTTGCGACCCGACTTTGGCAACGCCGTTTCGGCGGCTGACCGCGACAGCGACGTGACGCCGCGCACCGTCCGCGAGCTGGCACGGGCCCGGCGACGTCACGTGACGTCACGCCGCGCGTGGTGCCGAGTCAGCCGGACTCTGGACCGAGTTGTGACGCTTTTTTGCGGCGGAAGCCAAGACGAGTGACACTGCACCTTTGACCGCGGACCGACGGCGTCTGACCGAGCTACGTGACGACTGCGGCACGACTGTTGACACGTCTGACACCGGGCGAAGGTACGTGACTCAGCTGACGGACCTGGACATGACACCGCGGCGCGTACACTGACCTCGGCTCGATCGCATCGATCTGATGGATCCGTGAGATGCCGAGCAACACGTTCAGTTTGTGTGACGTTGTCATATAGCGTTTTCTGCTTCACGAGCGTGAAGAATATCGGTAGTTTTCGCTGTCACATCTGCTTTATCTTGTGAGGTTATCTGATGCGGTTCTCATGAGCACCAGTATCCAGGATGGTATGGGAAAAGCTTTTTTAAAGGCAGGCTCACACGAATCTAATGCCCAACGGTATGCGCTATCCTGTAAAATGTAAGGCTAAGTGCCCACTGGACTTGATCGTATACCACAATATACAGGTAGATCACAATGCTGCTTTTGATTTGCCACGGTGCTGATATATTATCTTCTGTTTTGCCATGGTGTTGATATTTTCATGCGAAAGTTGCTTGGAGAGGTAATGGAGAATGTAATGGCCATAGCGTTCAACATGGCGAATGACACTCAGGGTGTGATGGCCTGCCACCATCATTGCTGCCAAAAATATGTCAACTCAGACAAGCGAACTGTTCGTTTTTCAAACTGCTGGCGACAAACGAGACGTGCTACGTTCTGAATTTGCACGACACGAAGTAAAGCCTGAGCAAGCCGTGCTGACCGTGCGTCGTCTTTGCAGGAGCGGACCCGGCCGAGCCGCCGTACGCCATGTTCTACAACTGGAACGCCGTGCCGAACCGCGTGCCGGCTTCCTTCCAGCAGCGGCGCGCCATGTACGTCTCGAACTGGCAGTGACGCGCCACGACCGCCGCCTTGGAACGGTGCCTGTGATACACGGCGACACAGACGCGCGCCGCGCGGGGCTGCCGAGCCGCCGCCGGCCGGCCCGCGGGCGGCCGGCGTGCGGCGGACCTGGCCTCTGCCTCGGCCTCTGAGCCACTGCCTCTGTGCCTCTGCCTCTGCGTATCTGCCTCTGCGCCTCTGCCTCTGTGCCGCCCGAGGAGCTGGGCTGGAGTCGGCTCCCCGGCGCGCGCTTGACTCGCCACAGTGCTCGGGAGGTGGTTGTGGTGAGGACCTGGAGAGAAACAATAGAACCCGTACAGGAAGAGCCGAACAGACGGCGGCGAGGAAGGCGACAGGCGAAAGGGTACCAGCAGACGGACGATACACAGGATAACGCCGTATCTGGCTGTCTTGCATTTCATGAGCGACCTTCGTTTTCAGAAATATAGCTCTCTCGTGAAATGTGCTATCATCTGTGTTAGAAATAAGTTTTGAAGTGCGGCTTACGTACGTTTCACGTCATGCAATAGGGCGAATAAGCCGTGTGGCGGATCGCCGTGGTGGTAAAGCATATGCTGACGTCATATGCGACCAATTAGCGCAGCGATAGTCTGTCAGTGCTCAATTGTCTACTTCCACAGTGCATCTGTTAGCCCTTTGTCGTGTGTGCTGACCTGGCACCACGATATTTGTTGGTTCGATGAAGTTGTGCCTGCCTACACCCCGAGTAGGCTGAAGCAAGCTTTGATATTAAAGCATGATCATATGCGCATTGCCTCTGCAACAGAGCTATAGTACGCCCAAACAAAGACATTTAACTGTTTGATACCATTCAGTGCGGGTCTTGCATTTCTGAAAAATACACCGTTGCTGTCGCAAAATTAGCCCAAAATTTCCGGCGAACGCTGGGGTTTTTGCCAAGGCTTACCATCGAAACGTATCGAATATTCTTATCTTGCTGCCAATGATTCAAATTGAGAAACGTTTCGAGTATTTTGATGTGGTCCCGTTAGACCGGTACTGTTACAACCCTACGATCACGTAAGTGCGTAATCATTTGTTTTCGTGGAGCTAGTGCGCTGATCAATTACACATGTATTACCGGATACAAACACCCACGGGCAGCAGCGTACAAACGTGCGCCTCGCTCTGTTTTGTATTCACGTGTGGTGTCCGGAGCTGGTCGGGTGATGCGTGTGAGGTGTGTGTGCTTAGCATGTTATAAGAGTGGTGGATTTGTTGTCACTTTCTTTGCTTTCAAAAGGGCGTAGGTTTCCGTATCATGGGTATGACAGCATCGTTTCTGAGTTGGTGAATGTATGAATTGGAAATAAATGGTCAACATTTGTAGTTTGTCGTTTTGTCCTTCCTTTCAGCTTTCAGATGGATGGCTCAACGGAGGGACACAGCGCGGGTTTCCATCTTTGGTGCGTCCCTGATATATATTGACGAATACATTTGTTAGAATGCTGAGCGGGAGCAGTTATCGTATATTTTGAGTAAGGCTTAGCTTTGGTTATATTGCAGATTTACTACGTATTCACCAGACCACCGAGTGCTAAAGCGCTGGGGCATTGTTCAGTATTCAGACATAACGTCATTAAGTTAAGGAGCATACCAGGTGTAGAAAAAGGTACATGTAAAAAGAACGCCATTCAAGAGGCAGTTAAAATGGCATCGCCTCGTTCAAAGGACTAGGTAAAGTCAGGGTGCCGAGGTACTGGTAGCTACCTCTAATCTAAGCCGTTTTCACAATGCCATTGGAGGCAGGTCTTTGGAACTCTCTGAGCGGTGACTGTGCCTTTGTCTTGCTTATTTTATGCGACGTCTGTACGAACGGTTGTTTTTACGCGTGTCGGACCCACGTCAACAGCGGGTAACATCATGAATAAGTGTGGCGTGTGGTACATACATAAGAAAGCTTAAAGTGGGATCCAGGCCGGCTTGCACTTTGCAATGCAAATAATGCTAAAGGTCCAAACGACCGCTTAAATCATCTTAAATACCTAGGCAGACAAGAAAGCTGCAATCAATTAACCACCTGCAGCCATCTACCAGCATAGAAAGAGCTGCGTTTCGTGCTAGGAATGCAAGCATGCAAGCAAACTTCCTCTTGGTATTTGTTGTTAAATAATACCGCGAGCAACACGAGATATTAAGGAAGAAAGCAAATTAGTGACACTGTGGGCAGCGACGATAACTATCGAAAAGTGTGAGGCATTTAGCAAAACAATGCTGTGGGTAGACCCGCGGCCCGTAACATAGCGCTTTGTAGATGCGCTAGACGTGCGTAAATAAAAACGCCCGTACGGGCAGGCCATTCATCTTCCGCAGCTGAGCCAGCTGTGCCTGTCCCACTCCCTTCCCGTCCGACCACCGAGTCTGCAGACCACACATGTCGCCAGACGAAGCCGGCTTTCAGAATCAGAGGCTTGGCCTACTCTCCGATGCCTCATGTTTTATCTGCAGAACATCCAAATGCCGAACCTAAGAGACCTGCCTCGACGCTGTTCTGAAGCAGTGTTTGAGAAGATCCCAGTAAGGAAACACCAGTCCGTGCCTTAGGACGCGGTGTAAAAACTGATGGCGATTTGATTTGGTACTAGCATTAGTTGCATGTTGCGCATGAGGAACTTACGCTTAAGTTCGTTACAGCCAGCTTGTTTCGAGTTTGCGGCCCATGACAGCCAGCGTAAATTGATCCATGGGCGCGCACCAGGTAACTATTTGCTGAAATATGTGTACCTAAAAATGTGTGTACGTGTAAAAATAATATCCAAGGAGCTGCACTGTTTGAAGCGGGTTGGTATGTGGTTGTTGCACTCACCTGTGTCCACGTACAACCGTAGTTTCACCAACCAGTTAGTGTGATCCGTGCCAGTGTTCTCAGCGTCCACAGATGGCCCGTTCTTCCCAGCCCGGTGTTTATTTACCTCGGCCAGCGACCTGGTTTTTTCTTAGCATCCGCTCTTCCTTGCCTGTGTTGTTTGACCCAGCTAAGTGCCCTCGGTTTTCACAAATGACCCGTTCTTCACATGCCATTATTGCCTAATCCATGTCCACGTACGACCTCCGTGCCCACAGACGACCCGTTCTTTTCGGGTCTGCGTGTGCGCGTGCCGAGTTTGCGCGGCGGCTCGGACCGCATGGACTCGCTGCTCTCCTCCGAGACCGACTCGCCGTACTCGCTGCTGCCGGCCGAGCCGCGCCAGTGCCGGTCGCGCGCGCGCGATTCGCGGCGCGCCTCGTCTCGCCGCCGCGAGGCCGAGGCTGACCAAGAGCTGGCGCTGTACGGGCCGCCGCCGCCGCCGCGGCCGAGCCGCCACCGCTCGCGGCGCCGCTCGCACTCACGTGACCGCTCCCTGGCGCTGGACTTCGCGCCGGCGCTGGCGCGGGAGATGGCCGGCAGCCCGGCCCGGCGCCGGCCCGTCAGCCCGTACGAGGACCGGTCGGTCAGCCCGCCGCGGCGCCGGCCGCCCAGTCCCGCCGCCGCCTACCCGTTGAGCCTGGGTGCGGCGCAGCTGCAGCAGGCGGAGGCGGCGAGCCCGGGCCGCAGGGGAGCACGCCGCGCTCGTGAGCCGCCGCCCAGTCCGGAAGACTCCCGCCACGGCGCTTACTCGCCGGGCCGCGACGCGGCGCCACTGGCGGCGATGGACGACGCAGAGGGCGCCTACGTCGCGGGGCTTGGCGCGAGCCGAACCCCGTCCGACCGCCTGGTGGAGGCCATGAGGGAGAGATTTGAAAACAGCCACATGAGCAGGACAAGACGCAGTAAAAGAGGCGGCGGCAAAGCGGACGAGTGATGCCGACAGGTGCATGTCTGCGGGTATGGTGGAGTCTTTCCGATACTGGTACGGTTCCCCTGAGGTAGCCTCATACGGTTAAGAGACGTTGCACAAAGCATGCCAACGCGGAAATCAGCAGAACTTCGAACGTGTTATTGCCTGCTACGTGCAATGAACTAGAACTGGAATTAAGCCATGGCACGCCAGAAGGAAGCATCAAATGGCAGGCTCTCAAGATTAGTTGGAGAACGCAAACGGTCATGGGCTGTCCTAAATGGTCCCGATGCCTTCGCTTGTCCGCATATTTGTAACAGCTGACTTGCCTACCATTGTGGCAGCGCTCATCTTCCGCTCCCTGCAGCACGTAAGAGGCAGGCGCTCATGAAGCTCGTCCAGTGTGCGTTTTACGTCGCTTTTCCTTGCGTCACGATGCATGCCTTGCAGCCATGGTGATGAAAAGCGTCCACACGCCCTCAGATGGCTACTCTATCGAAGACGGGTGCGCATTTATGTTAAATGTGCAACCTATTGCATGGAATTTGTCACCCCTATGACAGACATTGTGCTGCAATTTGAGAAGGGGGCACATACACGCGAGTTGACATGAATGAAAGATCGAGTGGGTGTGTGGGCAAGAGATGTTCTTGCAGGTCGCCTTTTAATCCAGTACCAGATTACTTGTATTACCATGTGGCTAATGATGAACTTCGCCGCAAGATGAGTATTTGCCACGGCGAAACTATATATGTCGCTGAGGGTTCAGTTGCGTACATGATTTCTTAACCCCGCTATGGCGCAACATACGTGCATGTCAGATCTAGCATAAGAAAATAATTGGCTTTGGAATCGATGAATATATCTGATTCTGACTCATTGTTTTCATAAACATCATTCACACAAACTTATAGCTCAGACGGGTTGCACCGAAGTGATTAATGTCCTTATCGAAACCATCACAATAATTTGCCTGCAATCTACGCGTTACATATATATATATATATATATATATATATATATATATATATATATATATATATATATGTATATATATATATATATATACATGGATTCTATATACATACCAAAGAAGTCGCTTCCTATTTCATGCTGTGCCGGGTAAATGTTCGTATAGAATATCACCGATTTTTTAAAGTGTTCATAGTAAATACAGGAATCTATAGCTTAAAAAGTTTCTGTCATGCGTAGACCTAACGTTTTCCTAGTTCTATTTACATCTGCGGAGACCGGTATGATTTAACGTAATGCTACTACATTGACCAGTTTGAAATTCAAAACATCAGCGCAGGGTTAGTAAAGTCATGCGTCTCTTTTTCCCCGATCTCTTACTCAGGCATTTGTAACAATATGCGCACATGGTAAGAAGCAGTAACAGGCTTTCCAAACCAAGACCAAATTTTTTCGTGACGCAGATTTCACATGCATGCATTACTGGTCGAACACTACAGCAACTTCAGCGATGACTTTGGTAGTCTGTAAGACTTCACCTGACTTCGTAAGGTGCGTTCGACGTTTTCGGCGTGTCGATGTAAACGATTTCCAAGTTGATGGAATCGTCTTTGTCGACGTTTTAGTCAACTCGTTCCTAATCTAGAAAAAGACCGCTCACTACAAATGCGGTCGTACACAGCATATCACGCGTCGATACTCTTAGTAAGTCTAAAGCATTCACGCCAGTGTGTGAAGCTTAAAAATTTGGCAGAACACCATTTTTAGCTCCATGACCTATATCACGTTTCAGATGAGCCCCAAAGCCTTAAACGCTGAGCCTGCCGTGGTGTAAAACCAATAACCCATACACTGCGTCAGTTGGTGCACACGATTGTGTATCATAGGCAAGTTATATAAACTGCATGCCGCATTGTAGGCGCCTTTCTCGAATTTGCAATTTCATCCACACACAACACAAAGTTACGTATTTTGCAACTACTTGCAGTTCGATGAACTGGTATAAATTAGTGCACGTGTTGTTAATGCTGCACCAGTAATGTTTCATGTGATTTTAGAAGAGAGCGTGGTGTAACACAGAAATAAATGTCTTCCAGCAGTACTCCATAGAAGAAACAACATTGGCAGGCATTTATTTTTATTTTGCCCGAAAAAAATTCACCGAAACACGCTCTTTATACGCGACATGAGAACAACTGATATAACATAATATACCGCGCTGTAAATGGCCCCAGCCTTGCCATACATATATATATATATATATATATATATATATATATATATATATATATATATAACTTTTGGCATGTATGCGAATATATTGGCATTTGCATCCACAATCCGGTACTGGCTTAAACGTTTCGTCATGACAGGCCATGGTTACAGACCAGACGTGCATTACAAACCATTATGTAGGCAGAAGCATATACGCACCACACCGACATCATGTTTGAGGTTATACATTGGATGCGTATGCGAAAATATCGTGATGTTTTACCTCTTCATTATCTCAATGCCATAGGTGTTACATGGGTAGTTACCATTCGTTACGCTGTCGGTTCAAAAATGTGCTTTCAATCAAGAAGTTATCTCAGACAG